GTGTATGGTTCTTTATGTGGGGACTGGCGTCAAAGGACTTCACGTCATTTTTGGATCATGGAATTGCTTGATGCTTCCACTTGGTAATTTTTTTTCGTATTCAGCGAGTATGTGGCTAATCCTGGATCTTAATTTTTCTTTTGCAGTGCCACTATAGTTATAGTGCATGTGGACTTGGCTCAGATGGAACAGATAGACTTGTGCGGTTGGTCCAAGAGATGCAGCATAGCAGACGATCCAAACATGATGATGGAACCTTATATGGAGCAAAGATTACTGGTGGTGGTTCTGGTGGTACAGTCTGTGCAGTCGGCAGAAATTCTCTGAGAAGCAGTCAACAAATTCTCGAGGTAGTATTCCTTTCCCACTGTCAATTATTATGATGGAATCTTTTGTTGTGCCAATTAGCAGCATTCCAATGTATCTGTCGGTTGACTTTGCAATTATAGCCATGGTTGGAATCCTTTTTCCTGAACCTTTCACGTGGTCTGGAAATTTATAATAAAGGATCATCTGTTTGGTAGAAAAAGAAGATCAAGGTTATATTTTCACAACCTGAACTGGATTTCTGATCTGTTTCCGCATAAAACAATCCCAGCTTAGGTCCCTTAGTGCTCAATTTTGTTCTCTTTGAAACCGTCTCATTTGTGACATCTTAATCTTTATAAGTTTTCTGCTGCAAGTGCACTTGTACTCCAGCTAATAAGGGAAAGGTTTTCTCTGCTCCCCCAAGATTTAAGCTGGGCAATACTGGCACCAAGCTCCGTTGGCTATTTTTAGTTTAATAATATGGACTTTTTCCATTGAACAATCATGTTTTTCATTTTCTTTTCTATTGCATTTTCCACAACGTGCGTGGAAATTTTAGTGCAAACCTTTCCCTATCTGTCGTGAATTCTATGATGTCTCAAAGCTCAATCGACATGCTAATGTGATTTCGGTTGTCCAGATTCAACAGAGATACAAAAAGGCCACGGGATATCTGCCATTTCTCTTTGAGGGTTCGTCGCCTGGTGCCGGGACGTTTGGGTACCTGAAAATTCGCCGACGCAGCACTGCCAAGTCGGTTGATTCTTGTTAGCCAATGGCTATAGTAAAATTTAGACAGCCTTTACTAAATAGTTATATCCCGGCTGTGCTGGATTTTCCACTGTGAAGGGTCAGCTCGAAGTGGCATCCGTGGACTTGTCCTCTGCCTCTGGACATCTCCACTAGTCAAATCAGTCACTGCTACGAAGTCAATTTGATCGGAACTTAGTGCCCCCCTAATCATATTTCATGTAAGTAAGAAATAAGGTGGGGTTTAGAGATTGAATAGCTTAGCAGAAGCTGCTCTTCAAGCAGGATATGGAATTTACTTAAAGAATACCAGCATCAGAGGGAGACTATACAATTGAGAAAGGAGCGGCAATTTGGATCGCTATTCGCGGTGCCGTTTCCGTTTTTCTTCTTCTCTTTTACTTAGATGCTTCTCTTCGCTGCGCAACTTAACTTTACATTGCGTCCCATTGAGATGGATTTGTCGTACCAGTTCGATGAAAGAAGCGCTCTCTCTTATCTTAGAGCGATGGGAGACGTCTCTTTGTTCTCATCTCTTTTTCTGTTTTAAATTAGCTGCGTCCTCCATCATTTCGTGGGAAAAAAAGTTAAACTCTGTGATTCATTTTGTCATTTCTGAAGTTGCTTACAGCATGGAAGGATTATAGAAGATGGGCTTTCGCTTCTGTTGACATTGATTTGATCAATGGGGCTCAAAGCCAACATGTTAGGGAGGAATATCTTGGTTGAATTCGCAAGTTTACCTAGACATAAGGTGGTTTCAATGATTTACGGTATGTCTTTAGGTAATGAAAAGACTTTACCTTGCTTGACATAAGCTTGAAATCCGGATTGCACGCGATAGGGGTGTTGAAATATTGATGCACACCATTTAATAATGGATTCTAATTGCTCTTTATATTTATAGGTCTTCCTCCATTTATAAATTTAAGTTTTTAGGTTGGATTTTCTAACATATAAAGTTCTGAGTTCAAATCTTTTCAGATATCATTTATCTTTTCAATTAAATATGTTCATGCTTATTATTAAAAAAAAAAAACTAGACTAAGCGTGAGGAGAAGCGATAAAATATAATCAAATATGTTCATGCTTAGTACTAAAAAAAATACTAGACTAAGCATGAGGAGAAGGGATAGAATACAATTAAATATGTTCATGCTTAGTATCAAAAAAAAAACTAGATTATGCGCGAGGAGAAGTGATGGAATAATTAAATATTAAAGCACGTCTTCATATATTAACTTAAGCTTTCAGAACAATTAGCAATGGTCTCATAAAATCTAATATCTTATGCATAATTGCAGTAAAGGTATCTGGGGGAGAAAAAAAAAAGAATTTGGATTAGAGTGCACGTGAGCAAATCTTTTTAGATAGTTTGTTTAGTGAAAATTTGAGGTTTGCCTCACCATCTTCCTCCATTTTTTTTAAACGACATGACACCATTGATTTCCAAAGTTTTCTTTGTCATGCCATTCCTAATATGCTTTTAAATGATACCCATAAACTATGAGTTCGCTATCCATGGTATAATGTGAATCATTATGCTAAAAGAATCGACGAAAGTGGTGATGTCGGTGCCGATGTTTCCATTGCCTAGTTATCGGCAAGAGATTTTAGAGGTACAGTATTGCACCGTACCACCTCATTTCTACGACTCTTATATTCTTGGTTACAATGAATTATCGTAAATGGCTTTTCTCTAAGTGCTAATGTTCTCTCGCAAAATCATCTAATTTGGAACCCACCAGATGATTGGTTGAGTGATCCAAGACTGCGTTTGCAAGTTGAAGGTGACAGAATCAATCACTTAGGCTATTCTCGATCTTGAGAGACCTTGATTAGTTTGCGAAAGATAAGTTTGGACTTAGATGTATTGTTGGTATTGGGCTTCTCCACTTGTGCCCGATGGGATTACAATAACAGCCCCGCCCATTCCAATAGCTGGTAAAGGTAGGTCTCAATCCCATCCAAACCCTTTTTTTTGGGCAAAAGTAGCATCATCTAATGTGAAAAAACTGAGATATCTTTGCAAGATGATCATATATCGAATTGTTGTAATTCAAATTTACATCCAAAAAATCGGTTGGATTATTTTTCAAAAATGCATCACTTAGGAAGAAAATTTTTAGCACATCGGATTATTGAAATTAAGTTTCAGTGACCTGATTGTAAAATCAACTATAATTTAATGACCACAATTGAAGCTTATTCAACGAGAAAAGGAAAAAAAAAAGGACAAGTTTCAAATCTACCAGCAGAAAAAAAATACCTAAAAAAATAGTTAAAGGCTGATTGGCTGGGTTTATAGAAACAATTCCTTTTGTTTTTTAAAAGCAAAAGAACAATTTTTCACATGAAATTACCGTATAGAATTTGATAGAATTTGATAATTTCAAAAATTCAAAAATTACCGTATGGATAGAATTTGATAATTTCAAAAATTCAAAGAATAACATAAACTATTCTCTTGAAAGCAGAATTTTTTTGTTTCTCATAATCAGAAAAGTGATTTGTACATCTATATTAATTGATTAATAGGAAAATTCCAAATAAGGACCTGAAGTGGACTTTGTGTCAAATAAGGGCCCGAAGTGGTTATTTCTATGTCAAACAAGGGCCTAACTTTATGAATGGTGAGGGTATTTATGTCTTTTTAACTTTTTTGAATTCTTTTCCTTTCTTTTCTTTTTTTCCTTTTTTCTTTCTTCTTTTTTCTTTTTCTGGTTTCTCTTTGTGCTTCCCCGGTGGCCGGCCGGCTGGCCACCGACAAAGCCCGAGGAGGGCTAGGCGAGGGTGGCCTCGCCGGCAACAGGCGAGGGACGACCTCGCCTGTTGCAAGGCTGCCCTCACCGCCCATGGGCGAGCCGGCCCTCACCAGATCTGGGCAAGGGCCACCCTTGCCCTGGGCGAGCCAGCCCTCACCAGATCTGGGCAAGGGCCACCCTTGCCCTGGGCGAGGCCACCGTCAAAAGCCATAAGCGAGTGCCAACCTCGCCTGGGTGACGGGTGGGCGGTGAGACCCTTGCTGGTGGCTTTCAAGGGCAGTCTCGCCCCAATTCGGTGAGAGTGGCCCTCACCCAGCCCGTCCCGGGCTTCGCCAGTGGTAGGGCGATCGGCAACCGGCGACCGGCGAAACAAAGAGAAGATCAGAAAAGGAAAAAAAAGAAAAGAAAGGAAAAAAGAAAAAAAAAAAAGAAAGGAAAGGAAAAAGAAAAAAAAATTATTTTTGGACGAAAATGCCCTTGACCTTGCTGGTTGCCAGCCGAAATATTTCGCCGTCCGGTGACCGGCAAAATCAGGCCCTTATTTGAGACTCTCATGATCACTTCAGGGCCCTTATTTAAGATTGGCATGTCACTTCAGATTTTTATTTGACACAAAGTCAACTTCGTGCTTTTATTTGAGAAATGATGGCACCTTATTTGGAACTTTCTCTTGATTAATTGATCATTTTGGCGCCAGAAGATCACAAATCATTTCCATATAGAAACTCTTCCTTTTCATGACAAAATTAACTGAGATTTCTCAAAACTATTTTCAAGATCCCTAAGAACAAGTTGTGTTGCGCTTTTTCATTGAATTTACAAGATCGCTTTGTAAATTTACGGACTTGTGAAATTACCAAAAAATATGGATCTAGAATCTAATATCAGTTGCATTAAAATTCACAAGCTTCCCATAATTCTCTTTTTGATCTTGTCCTTAAAATACCATGAAAAGCATTGTTTAATGAAAACATCGTTAAATAAAAATTTATTATTATGTTTAACCAAACATTGCCTTCAATCAAGAATAGTTTGAATAAACTAAAAGTAAGTTTAATATTTTTATTGTTCCACATATTCAAGTCTAGATATAATGAAACGCGGTCTAGGCGATGCATTTGTCATTCATTTTACTTGATTCACTATAGCTCTCTTTAGTCATCATAGCCCACATAATCAACAAAGCCATCAGCAGCCAAGCAACTCGGATGGAGTTTAATCATCAATGAGACCACACAGGAAAAGATATTTCATGTGCTAAAGACACAGGTTGCTGTATACAGTCTGCAAAGAGTTGCATGGAGATCCTGCTTTAAGAACAACAGGGGAAAAAGAGATTCAACATAAGTTAAGTTGCATCTGGCTCTCGGCCACTTTTAGGTGCTCATTGGCTCAGGGCTCGGAGCACTCAGAATATCCAGCAGTGAGTTGTGCGCTGGCAGCTCCTCGTGCCACAACGGAAGGGTGTCACCAGGGTAGAAGTTTCTCGTCACTCCCTCAGAATTTATCTGAAAGTGCACCCAATGAAACGAAAGGCGCTTTAGCAAATGGGCCGTATTTGCGTTGCAAGAGTTAAGTTTGGTTGGGAATGGTTGAAAGTACGAAGAATAAATCTTACAATAACAGTGCGAACAACACCGCCGCTAGCACCATCTCGTGCAATGGCAAGGGAAACAGCCTTGACCACCAGTTGCTGCAAAAGGGTAGTGCAAGGAACTAAGTGACGATGAGCGCAGAAAATAAGGACAAATCAAAACGGCCTCTTATTCTTTTGCTGACTCTTGTTTATTTATGGGCTACCCGCTTTTCCTTTATCCCTTATCGATTAGGAATATGAATACACAACTAAAAGAACAGCTCTCAATAGCAATCTCAGAAATCATTTGCAAAAAACAGTAGCCAAATTTGCTCTTTAAATATTAGCCTTATGAGAATGTCAGCGACGACACTCTTGTCAACATGCAATTCTGCATATGAAAAGTAACCAAACTTCAAGGCTTATCTATGAAATGGTTCATCATCATCTACATACCTCAGCCTCATCCTTGGTCATCCCTTCCCTCCAAGCTTGATCAAAGAATCCATACAAGTAGCTGGAGCCAGAACCTGAAGAAGTCATCCTGGTTATACATTGCCAAAAGATAATAACTTCCATATAATGTACTCTTGAAATTTGACACTAGAGCATCCAAAATTTTTAAAAGTCTCTGCCACCAACGTAAGCGAGAATCAACGGCGTAATTACAGAAGTAAAAAGCTCACTTCCTGAGAATTGCCAATAAAAGGAAGATGGGAGTCTATGACTAAGCAGCAAAGGATATAACAAAAAGAATCAAACTAGTGGATAAGCCATAAATCCAAAGCAGAATTTAAAGGACTTCCGGAAATGACATTTTTCCAAAACATTGCATTTGAAAACCACAAAACAACCTTCACTCCTGCAACAAAGCAGAAAAGGGTCCACCTTCAACCAAGGGCAAGAGAACTGAATGGTACATTCATAGGAAAATTTCACACTGCTCGTATTCCAAGCTCATTAGACTGACCAACAACGAAAAACTGACAAATTGACTATGCTCTATCAGAAAGGAGAAATACAAGTTGCCAAAATGGTCATGTTACACTCAGTAAAAGATTGTCTGATAGTTTTAGCAAACCAGAGAAATTAGGTCCATGAACCCTGTCGCATTTTCATTAGTGATTTTAAATAAAAAGGAAGCGATTCAATTATAGATATTAAAGTACCTCCAATAGAAAAAGGCTGCTCTATGATTGTACCACCAAGAGGAATTCCATAAATTTTACCACCTTCGTACTGGTCCCATCCGCCAACAATAAGTCCAGTTTGTAACATGTTCTGCAATTGCCCAAAAGTTCAATCTTAGCCAGTGTAGATGCTCATGTTCAAATCAGGAATATTAAAGTCTAATGATAAAATCCACAAAGAAATTAAAACTAGTACAAATTTTGCTGTTGTTTAAATAACTTCCATGTGTATCCATATTCAAAAAATCAAAGAACTTAAAGTCACTCTCTGTTAAATATGTACTATATTTAGGCTTCTAAAGATTTCATCCAAGATAGTCCCCAAACTACATTGGAATCAAGTCAAACAAATTATGTAACGTCTTCACTTAACTACTCCTGTTAAGCAATACCAAAAGATGAGCTTTGTTACTGAAGTAGCTCAAAAGAAGAATAGACTCGAGCATTGAAGCATGTTTTAAGTTTACATTTAGTGGACTGCCAACTACCAATGCACCCTAGATAACTTTTATGAATGATTTATCAGAAGAATGTGCTACTCTAGCATTCTCAAATATAAAATATGAAGAAAATTTATTATTATCAAGCATAAAATATTTCACGGCAGCTTAGCACAAAACTGATCAAAGAATGCACTCATGAGCTGCTGATGTCCTGTATGGCTATATGAAGCTGTGAAACATCTTCCCATCAACAAAATATGACTGCAATCCCATGCAGATGGTAAGATCAGAGGACTTCAATAAGAACTCATGCCTCAAGCTCAGTTTGGCAGAGCCAGTGTCAAACTGAACCGGCTTATTCATCAATAATTCCGAGTTTCTCAAAGCAGCCCATGCAAATCATATTCCAATATGCTAATTTGTGAAAAACCCAAATAAATTAATAGACTGAAACAGTATATGAATCGATAAAAGACGATTTAAAAGAAAAACCAACAACTTTATTGTCCTTGAAATGAAAAATCAAAAAGAATTTTCCCTACAATGCAGTAGGAGGGCAGTAAGAGGGATACAGTAATTAGCAAACTTCTGAGTTACAATTCATCAATTACCAATACCACTGCTTCTGCACCTATATGCATGCTATCAATTTGGCGCCAATGAACAAGCTACAATTGCACTCATAAATTCAAATTTGTCACTGTATTTCGTCAACAACTGCCACCTCTATTGTCTTAGCACAAAATTAACTCCCAACTCTGGACTTTGCGACCAATGCTTGATTCCAACTAAGGTATTCATTCAAGGAAAATGAAAATGGACACTAAGTTTTAGCATGACAATGAACTTAGAAATTACGGTGTATAAGCAAAAATCAATGCTAGTACCAGAAACCTAGAAGATACAATAAGATCTAAAGTATGCACCTTGTTATTGTAAGATATCAGCCTCACAAGATTTGCAGCAACCTTGACAGTTGCAGGCTGACCCAGCTGTATACTGCATGAAAAGAAAAATATCATTACACTGCAAATAACATAAAATCCATATCATAGATCATATACAAGAACTCGAACTGTCAACTAAAGCAAATTTTGATGCATTTGTGGAAAACTCAAATTGATATTCAATGTGTCTGCATTATCAAACAAAACTGAAGGATGTTTATCAACTCGACACGCATAAAAATGGAGCGAATTAACTGCTGGCCACCAAACATATCTCTATATCAGCAGATGAAACTAAAGAGTGTTATTAACTAGACGTAAGCATAAATTGCAAAAAAGTGACAGCTTGCCACCATAAAACAACCATATCTGGCTGGATTACTAAAAAAAAAATAAGGAAAAAATTCCAAGATGCCCATCAGTATCTCAACCACTTCAACATGAATATGTAAGAATGACTTATGACAAAGAGAAGAACTTCCATACTTCTACTATCTGAGGGTTTTTCAACTTAGCCTTATATGCTAGTACTGACTGATGACAATGGTCGTATTTTGTTGATGCCACATAACCAGGAATGCTCATTCGAGAAAAGTTAGCCAACGTTAACAACATGGAAAGACATGCGGGGACTTATCATAGGATGAGTAAACTGAGACAGTACACATAACCAAGTAATCTACAGTTCCACAGAAGCAAAATGAACAGCAAAAGCCCCCCCTTATGAGGCATGCTGAAAACTAAGTTGCACGCTCCACACCACAAACAATATACATCCTTCCGTCCACATTCCAATACTTAATTATATATGCATCAAAGCATATCCGAATGTTCTACAGAAAGCCACACCTTCGAAGTCTTAAAGGCACCAATAACAACTTCTAAGGGATAATATGATGTACAGGAGAGCAAGCACAAAACGATCACTCACGTGTGTTGATGGAGGAAATAACGGACATAGTCAGAGACAATCTGAGAATCCGCCGCCTGCAAAGAACAGAAACTAAATCTTTTTGAGTATCTTCCCGTGAGTGGTCGACAACAGCAACCAAAAAAGATAGTTCGTCATTTCTAAAGAGACTGGAGAGATTATCGGCTTAAATTTCGGACCCATTTGAGAATCAGGGAAACAGGGAACAACGGCAGTTAATTTTCATTCCAAGAGTTCTCAATATCCAATTTTCTCCACAAGAAAGCACTTCAACTCAAGAACGACGAATTGCACGAACACACGCTGCAACACTCCGACATCAAAAGATATCTTCCGACAGCAGACCAACACAAAAGGGTACAATAAATCAACCCAAAAAAAAACAACGTCCAGGAGAAAAAACATAAACGCAGCATAGAAAAGGGGGGGAAAAGAACACACCGATCCAGAGCGGCAAACGTACACATTGTCCGTGAGCTGCGTAATCTTGTCCGACGCTCGGTTGGCAACATACATCCCTACCAGCAAACACAAACCCAACAAAGCAAATCAAACGTGCGTTCACAAGCGCCGCCAGTTCAGCCCGAAGCAGCCGATTCGCATCCAGATCCATCAAAAAAGAGACAGACCCACGCGAATTCGAGGCATCCTGCGAACAACCCATCACCCAAAACTTCCCCCCCCCCCCCCCAAAACCCGCCGCAGTACGGATCGGGGATCGGCGGGCCTTACCGGTGCTGGTGCGAGAGTCGGCGCCGAGGACGACGCCGCCGTTGTAGGTGACTCCGATGATGGTCGTGCCCATCGAGTGGGGCTCGTTCAGGCTGGGCTCCATTGTCGGGTCCCGATCGAAACCCTAGCGGAGGCGCGGCGCGGCGCGGCGGCTTCGAGGTGGTCTCGCCGGTCGCCGGAGTTGGGAGTTCTTGGGGAATGGAGAGAGTCTGTGCGTGTGTGTGTGAGAGAGAGAGAGAGAGAGAGCAAAGGCGGAGGCTTTTTGACCCTTTTTCAACTCGCCCTGGCGTTGAGCGCAAGTCAGATGGTTTTATTGCGAAAATGTATTTTTCTCTTCTGATTTTTCATATTTATTTATTAATTTTCCTTGTTTTAACCTCCTCATCCATATATTAGGTTAATACCACAAAAAACCCCCAACTTATACACCTACGATGAATTTACCCAAAGACACCTCCAAATTGATACATTTATGGCAAATTTACCCTCTGTTAACTTTCGTTAAATTTTACCGTCAAATTACTGAGTTTGGTGACACGTGGCAGCTGACGAATGTACCAGTTTGAGATTTTATCCCTACGTTTGTCATAAGTATACCGATTTGTGATTTTTCGCGGTATTAATCCAATTTTATGGAAACTGACGAAAGGTAAGTTTGTCACAAATGTACCAGTTTGGGATTATTAGTTCGGGGTAAATTTATCAGAGATGTATTAATTTAAGATTTTTCGTGGTATTAACCCTCCTAAATTTCATATTAGGGCTCGAGTGGGATCATTTTCTCAAAAAAGAAAGATTCAAAGTGGCTTGAAATGGCTAAGATAGTCTCAAATAAGGATCTAAACTCGTTGGATGGCTAAATCTTTGCCAGAGAACTTTTTTCCGGTGATTAGAATAGAGGCAATTTTGTCTAAAAATTGTAATTGAGTAGAAATAATTGGATAGAATCCCCAAATTAACTTAGGCAATTTTGGCGTCGAGCGCAAGTCAGATGGTTTTATTGCGAAAATGTATTTTTCTCTTCTGTTTTTTTCTTTTTTTTGGTGGAAAAAAAAAGACTTTCACAATTATTTTATTAATTTTCCTTGTTTTAACCTCTTTATTACCCGTATACTAGGTTAATACCACCAAAAACCCCAAACTGATACATCTATTATAAATTTATCCAAAGACACCCCCAAATTGATACATTTATGATAAATTTACCCTATGTTAACTTTCGTTAAATTTTACCGTCAAATTGTTGAGTTTGGTGACACGCGGCAGCTGACGAATGTACCAGTTTGAGATTTTATCCCTCCGTTTGTCATAAATATACCGATTTGTGATTTTTCGTGGTATTAATCCAATTTTATGGAAACTGACGGAGGGTAAGTTTGTCACAAATGTATCAGTTTGGGATTATTAGTTCGGGGTAAATTTATCAGAGATGTATTAATTTAAGATTTTTCGTAGTATTAACTCTCCTAAATTTCATATTAGGGCTCGAGTGGGATCATTTTCTCAAAAAAAAAAAAAAATTGATTCAAAGTGGCTTGAAATGGCTAAGATAGTCTCAAATAAGGATCTAAACTCGTTGAATGGCTAAATCTTTGCCAGAGAACTTTTTTCCGGTGATTCGAACATAGGCAATTTTGTCTAAAAATTGCAATTGAGTAGAAATAATTGGATAGAATCCCCAAATTAACTTAGGATTAGGGTTCTCCCTTCTTCTTCCTCTCCCACTGCTCAAGTAAATTGCTCTCGGACGCTTCACGCCAATCCTCGTCACTCCTCTCTCGCTTCTCACGATCTTCTATCCGTCATCTGCCGTCGTCTCTCCTTTCTAGTGCTCTGTCGTTGCAAGCTTCAAGTCCGTTGACCTTCAATTTCGTCGCTTTAAGTCCTCATGCTTGATAGATATAGGTAAAATTCTCCCCAAGTTAGATGAGATTTATGTGGGGATATTTCATTCGATGCTTGCCTTGTTTCCCATCAATTTTGGCAGTGGTCAGGCACATATGAAGCAGAGTTCTTCGAGAAACACAAGTAGGAATTGTTTTTTTCTAGTTTCTTCCTAGTGCTAATAATCTGATTATCGGTTATCAGAGATCGTGATCGTTTTATTTTGGGGGAATTTACATTAGGGATAATGGCACAAATAGTTTCTGAACTTTGGTCCAATGTGCAATTTGGTCCCTGAACTTTTAATTTGTTCAATGTCGTCCCCGAACTTTAGCCTAATGTTCAATTTGGTCCCTCAACTTTTAATATGTTCAATGTGGTCCTTGGACTTTTGGTACATGTTCAATTTAGTCCTTAAACTATATGAAAATGTTCAATGTAGTCCCTGAACTTGAATTAATGGAAGGACTACATTGAACATTTTCAAATAGTTCAGAGACTAAATTGAACATGCACTAAAAGTTCAGGGACCACATTGAACAGATTAAAAGTTGAGGGACCAAATTGAACATTAGGCTAAAGTTCAGGGACTACATTGAACAAATTAAAAGTTCAGAGACCGAATTGCATATTGGGTCAAAGTTCGGGGACTAATTGTGTCATTTTCCCTTTACATTAGCTAAGCCACGAAAATAGAAGTTTTCGGTTATTTCTTCCCCTCCTATTTCGGCGATTACGAAACTTGGTTTTGCATGTGATGGCAATTCTTTGGCTCCTCACATTTTTCAATTTTCCCACTATATATGGAATCGTGAGTGCTGGGATGGTCGATGTTGTTTTTGTTGACTGCTGAGTTATGTTGAGAGGAGCTTGCGGGGCAAGACACAAGAAAGTTTTCAATTGAGATATTGAGTGAAATAGTGATAGGAAAATAGGCCGTGTTTGTGAGAGCATTTGGTCAATGTTGCTTTTGTTTGGTGAAATTAATCTACTACTTTGTATGCCGTGAGCGACCATTGAAATAGCTTTGTACTATTATCAAATACAATGTGTTTATTCGCCTCTTATAGTTCTCCCAAGTCTCCACCACCACGCTTGCTTCAAACATGTGTAATGATGAGGTTTAAAGTCGTGTAAATATATTCAATTTATTTGAGAAGATAATAAATAATCATTTTATAAATTTGAAGGAAAAAAATAAAGTAATTTTAATATGTAGAGCAACTTACAAGGAGAGAACTTATATCGATTACTCATTTGGTTTAGCTTCAAAAAGAAAAACGAAAATCTTTTTTTCTATGAAATTTGAAAAAGGAAAAAAATAATTCCTACTTTAGAAAGAACTACGAAAAAAATTTACATCTGATCCTATTAACATGTTTTGAAAAAGTTAATTGTTTTTAAAAGGCAAATTGTGGGAGTCGGAAAATTTAAACAAAAAAAAGCGAATTAAAACAAAGTAAAAACAATATCAAGAAAACATTTAAGTTGCCCTAAGCGACTGTACACGTCCAATCTCAGAATTTTTTTTATTACTTTATTGTACCTGAGGCCCTTAGGATCTTCCCTTACTAGATTAAGCTTGCTGATTAGAATGCCTAAATTTTTAACACTCACGCTAGAGATTCTAGAGGGCAGACTACATCTTGCCACTAGATCTTTGGCACATGTTGCAAGTAGGCCCGACAAATGGGTGTGTTGGGTCAGGTTTAGGACCGGTCAAAAAAGGCCCGACCCAAATTGATCTATTTAACTCGTTTTGACTCATTTCTATGCTATACAAAGATAGTGATCCATACCCGACTAAATTCATACCCAACATATACTCGACCTAACCCATATTACTAAAACACTTTTATATCTAACTCATTCTTGAAAATCTCATACCCAAACTATATAACAGCTTAATCCATAGTTGCAAGTTTACGCGTGACCTTTCAAGTTCCAAATTATCCCCCTTGAAATACTAAAATTCGTTGTGATATCCTGCTAACTTTAGCATTGACTAATTTTTCTTCATAAACCCTGTCGCAAGTTTGTCACGTGACTAATTTCCTCCTCCTTTTGAGGGCAAATCCATCCAGCAATAGAATATAGGGAAAATACCACCAAAAATTTCAAATTATGCAATTTGTGATAAATTTACCTTGAACTTTTTTTGTGACACGAAAAATTTCAAACTATGCCACTTGTGACAAGTTTACTCTGAACTTTTTTTTGTGACACGAAAAACTCCAAATTATGCTATTTTATGATGTATTTACCCTACAATACTTTGCCCCAAAGGCATTGTTGTCTTTTTTTCTTTTTCTGTTTTTTTCCTTTCTTCTCTCTTCCCTCCGCCGACCATGGCGGAGAGAAGTCGGCGAGGGTCGCCCTCGCCCAACCCCAACACTGGCGAGGACCGCCCTTGCCGACTTCCCTCCGCCATGGCCGGCGGAGGGAAGATAGAAGAAAGGAAAAAAAAAAAGGAAAAAAATAGAAAAAGGAAAAAGACGAAAATGCCCTTGGGTCAAAGTATTGTGGAGTAAATGTGTCACAAGTGGCATAGTTTGGGGTTTTTTTGTGTCACAAAAAAAAGTTCAGGGTAAATTTGTCACAAGTGACATAATTTGGGGTTTTTTGTGGTATTTTCCCTAGAATATAAAATGAAGAAAGTCGTTATTGATAGAACCGTTGCGCGATCGACCCACCACGGCAACCTCACCGGAACGCAAGGTGGCAATTATGGCTACCTCCATAGAAGGATAATTACCATAAAAAAAAAAAGTCCTTAATCTATTGCACGGTTGTCAATTCAATTTAAAAAAATTTCAATTTAACTAAATTAGTCTTAAACATTTTGACAATTTGCCTATATAGTCATTCCGGTCAATTTTGACTTAAAATCACTAACGTGGAAGTTGGCTATCTCACGTGGCATAGCCACGCTAACGTGAACAATTTTGGTTTTTTTTTAAAAAAACATTTGAATTTATTATAAATTTCATTGTTGGCTGACGAGGGCTAGCATGCCCTCATCGGCCGTGGTTGAGGATCGACAGCTGGCGTATAGGTCGAAAGGACTATACTGGTAAATCGTGAAAAAATTTATCACTAAATTGACTAAATTAAAAATTTTATAACTGAATTTATATCCGTACAAATAAATTTATGACTTGTTTTGTAATTTTCCCCCTTTACATATGGACACCATCCCAATCCACGATGATGCTTTTTTCATTTGTTTTGTTCTTTCTTGTAATTTTCCTATCAAGTACTTTTTTGTTTTGAAATTTTCCCCCTGCTGAAAAGTGATGTGACAGAATGTGGGTGAAGATTCGGTAATTTTTCCCCGTTTCTGAGTAGATTTCATGTCAGAAACCTGAAGCCCACCCAATTAGAACTAATTCTCAAATTTTGAAACCTGAAACGTATCTTATTTGTCTGTCTTGAATACTGCCTTGTTTGTCCAATCCAATTCCGAGGCCTATCTATAAATTGGATTCTGTTTTTTTCTTTATTTAAAAAAAAAACCAAGAAAAATAGCGGTTACAATAAAAAAGTATCAATACAAAACAATCAGAAATATGAAGCAATAGAAAAGTTAAGCTCATTTAAAAAAAATTCATTTTCTTCCAATTTCATAAAACAGGAACCTACCCGAACTTGTTTCCAGCGGAATCGGGAATCGGATCTATTTCAACCCCTAGTAGAAATGGAAGGGCACTTAGTTGATGTAAGGATTTTTGTGTCCCTTTACGATGTATTAACTCTTTGGTCCATGGAACAAACGATTTTATCCATAAAAGGGCCCTCGTGAGGGGAGGGAAGAGCCCCCTGCTTATAAGCCACAACCGTCAATATGGGGGTATCTCCCGCTGACATCGGAATTTGCATGTTGTTTCATGAGATATCGTTCGCTTTGATCCTAGCTGACCCGTTAGGATTTGCATGTTGTGGGGTCAATGAGATTTGCATTGATCCTAGCTGACCCGTTAGGATTTGCATGTTGTGGGGTCAATGAGATTTGCATGTTATGTCGCGAGATATTGTTCACTTTGACCCGTTGGCTTTACACAACGTGATAATGCGCACGACTCTGCACTAGAGTTCTAGTAATATGACAGTACAGAGGAGATTGGACATGATGAACAATTGAGTCTGTAAAGTTCAGTGCAATATACAGTCAGCCCTCGTCATTTGATGTGCTCAATGGAGTTCGGTTTCTATTTCATGTAGTATGCAACATCTCGATATCTTTACTCCTAATGTGATAGTATGCAAGACTGTCTATCGTTGCCAATTCCGTGAACAGACACCAGGATTGAAATGAAAATGAAGATACACGCAATTCGCTTGAACAGAAACATGACATAGTCTCTGGCAGCATTACAACAGATTGAAACATTCTAATGCGTCCTCTTTGAGACCACCATTTCTCTCCGTGGCCTACAATTTGAGTTTATTGATTCCTAAAACCTTGGTCCTCAGAAGTTAGACCTAATCTAGGCATGTTAACAGAGTGGGTAAGATTAAAAGTCTGGTTTGAGTGCTGAAAAAAATACAAAAAAAAGTTTCGAGTAACGAAGAGTCGATGAAGACATTAGTAATCAAGTTGAGAAAGCCTCCGAGCGACACTCAGCTCCGATTGTCGGCTTTCGTTCATAAGGAGTCCGTGGCTATGGCTTCCTGAAGCGGACGCAGTTTCAGGGACGGTACGTTGTCCTTCAATGGGATGCGGGACGGCCCAACCAACTTCTTATCAATCTTCCCTGCAGTTCCGAGGACTTTCCTTACTTCATTTGCGAGTTCGATAATATGGTCATCTTCATGCCCTGTCCAACAGTCACCCAACATCAGTAAGTTCGATCCTGCTAGGAACGGTGACAATGCATAGCTATTCGAGCTCAAGAATGTGCGTGAATGCTCACCAATATCAAACAAGGCCTTCTCCATTAGGAACAGATAGTCTCTATTGTTTCCACAAGGTCCAAAAGCAGTTGCAATTTGCCTAAACAATCCAATCAGAAAGGGATTAAGAAAAATGTTGGAACCCTACCAGAAAGTGACATGTAAAAGTTTGCTGTTTTACTTACCTTGCCATGTCCTCCAAAGGAGCAGGACCCAAATAATATTTGTTTGATATTTTGTCTGGAGTGGACGTAAAGCTGCAAAAGCAGATGATTCTACCGTCATATAATTGTGACATACTTAATGCGTTTTGCTTCGAAGAATTATAGCATATAAGTTAAAACAAGACACATAATGCACCAAAAATTGCATCTTCTTTAAGTATGAATACAACAATCTGAAAAGAAACGATTCAACAAAGGATTAATTGAGATAGAGATAGAGACATAATAGAGATACTTACACTATAACTCCTTGCAAGGTCGGTTGTGACATATCCTCTTTCTGGTTCAAGAATCATGCTCCAGTGAGATTGATATTAAGAGAATCCAGATGCAGAGAGCAGAGATTGTGCGACTTCAGAAAAGAAACATGATAACAGTAGAAGAAAACACACCCTTACATTGTAAAAATCAACCAGAGTCTTCTTGTCGTACTCGCATTCTCGCCGTTCCAGATACTGTGAGCACAAAGAGAAAAAAAAAATGCTATTCTTAAGGTGCTTCCAGATATAACCTAACCTACTAACATGCAACTTCGTCTATTTCATCCTGCCCAACACACACACACACACACAGAATAAAAACGACAACACGAGTGGGGAGATAGAAGTGTAAGGGTGGTCTTCCATGGAGTACTTTGTCGTCGGTCAACAAATTTTAAGGTCATAGCAATCACCAGTACGAACCAATTCGATTGCAAATTATGGTACCACTGTGAGGGGAAAAAACTGAATGATATGGAAGTTGCAAAGACAAACCTCCATTGCTGCTCTTTCCCTTTCAGGGCCACCGCTCACACAATAAGCAACACCCCACTGAACAGGAGGAGAAACAGAAGGAAGGAGAGTTTTATCAAAAAACATAGAAGGCAACTGCTTTCATAAGAGGATTCAGTATTTATTCATACAAAAATGGCATATGAGCACGGCATTTTGATTCGCTTTTTCAAGTTGAGCTGTACATTGATGGTCACTTGAACTCCGTATGAAAATGCATTGGATCTTGCAGGGACACTATACTTACGCAGATGGATCCTTCAGCTTCTTCCAAAGTGCATGTCCTAGCAGGATGGTCAGGTGTACCTCTATGATCAATGCACGCTGTCGCAACAAAACATCAAGAGTAAAAATACTAATAAAGCACGGTGGTATGCAAGCAGGTATACAAGTTAAAGCTGTTCTGAAAAGGATGCAATGATTCTTTTGTAATCAACAAAGGCTTACCAAGATCAAACACACGCTTATAATTCTTGATAAAGCCCATAATTTTCTCATCGAACTCAAATCCGGGGTTCCACACCAGTGAACCATAACCAAAAACCCAGAACACCATACTTGTAGACCCTGCAAGTAAACTCCAGTGATTAATCCTTCAACAAACAACGCTCAAGACAGGATGCTAGAACTATCAAGCATTAATGCCTGTTTTGGCAGAACAAAAGGGTAGGTGACCATTCTATAAATAATCTCATGGTCATTACACTGAAGGCAAACTTCCAACGACAAATGGGTACGCAAAAAAATATTCAAATGACAACAGGGAAAACCATAGAAGAAACCCAAAACTAAGATATGGTAAATTTAACTGCGCCCTTAAGTCTCTTCAACTCCGCGCAAGAATCAACATCAGGTTCCTGTAAAAACTAATGGAGCTACACCTACTATGGCAATGATTAACTAATGAAAGGTTTCTGTCACTGAGAACCAAGAAAATTCGTCCAAAGTTCAAAACATATACAATCAACCTCCAATTTCGAACATTCCACCGGTTCCTCGTAAAAACGGGCTTCAAGACTAATTTCTCGAGAGCTCATAACTTACGACATTGTTTGCAGTGTACTCCACGAACAGAAACAAGAAACTCTGCCACGAGATTAATTGCCTAAATCATCAGACTTATAAGTTCGAAAAGTTAAACATACCCGTCAATCGACACATGCTCTGTGGACCACAAAATCGACAAACACATGGGACAAAGGAAGGGAAAGGGTCACAGGCTCACACAAAGCAATCACAAAAAAATTGGATGTATCAAGCATCAATGCACGGTACAATCTCAAACTGCCTTCACTTCATACGGACAGAGCTCCACCGCAAAAGGCCAGGATCCTAAGGAAAACACAGCTTAAAGAGAAACAACGTGTTCTGCCTCGGATGGAGCCGGAATGGGCAGCCGTCAGCTCATCATCAGTACAGCCCAACATTTCCCTTCGAGCTCGGCAATGTCTAACCTAGCCAGCGAAATTACAGCGACCCAGAACGACGGCAACTACTTCACAGAATTCACTGGCGGATCGACACCAGAACAATCGACCCAATAGCCCGAAAGGCCGACCCGAGCCGCGGGAACCAAAGGGAAATGCAGCAAGAGGAAGCGAAAGGAGAGCGAGCTCTTACGGGTTCGGGAAATTCACAGGCGATCTCTTCTCTTCTCCCCTCTGATCCGACGAAAGCAGGAGGAGGAGGAGGAGGAGGAGAGGAAGAAGCAGAGGATGAAGATGGTGGTGATGATGGTGGAGAGAGAGAAGGGAAGAGAGATTCGGGAAGAAGCTGAACAGGGGAACGCGCCAAAGCTTCGCAAAACTCAAGAAACTTTTTGGTCGGCGCTCCTCCCTCTCTCCCCTCTCTCTCTCTAGTTTCTCTCTCTAAAGTTGCGTGCGTTCACGTTGCAGGGGCGTTGAGGAGAGAGAGGGGCTGGCGAGGCGGAAGAGGAGGAGGAGGAAGGCTATTTATACGCGAGGATGACCCGTGGGGGTGCACTTTGCATGCCATCATGGCCATGTGCATCATGTCGTTGTCATGATCCATGGAATCATAAAGTTCTTTTTAGGCTAAGAATATGAACAGTAAATAATGGCATAAATAATCCCCGAACTTTGACCTAATATGTAATGCGGTCCATAAATATCTAATTTTATTCGATGCGATTCTTGAACTTTAACCTGATATTCAATGTGGTCCCTTAACTTTTTGTACATGTTCAAAATAGTCCCCTGACTGCATGGAAATGTTCGATGTAATCCTTCCGTTAATTTAAGATTACAGACAACATTGAACATTTTCATAGAGTCCAGGGCTTAAATTAACAAATAAAAGAGTTCGGGGACGACATTGCACGTTGGATTAAAGTTCATGGACTATATTGAGCAGATTAAAAAGTTCGGGACAATGTGATCCTTGAACTTTTAATTTGTTCAATGTGGTCCTCGAACTTTTGGTACATGTTCAATTTAGTCCATGGACTAGAAAATCCAGGGACAAGATTGAATCTAGGGATATAATTTTTTAGGAACTAGATTGAACATTTACCAAAAGTTCAGGAACCACATTGTATAAATTAAAAGTTCAAGGACGACATAATAGATTGGGCTAAAGTTCAGGGGATCATATTAAACAAAGTAAAAATTCAAGAGCCACGTTGCATATCGAGCCAAAGTTCATGGATCATTTGTATAATTATATGACCCGTCTTGCTTTAGCGAGTGTTTTAAGGCACCTGTTAAGCATGCTTAATGGAAAAATACACGATTTTTAAAGCATCGCTTGTTAATATCACGATGACGATCGATGCGTTGGGAGATTGCAATATCTCCTTATTTAATTACTTATTAAGGTTCAATGGTTACCTTTTAACAAAATCTTGATAAAACTCATAACTATAGTTATATGAATAAAGAGCTTAGACATTATTTTCTTTCTTTTTACTCCTATACAAAAATTTCTAAAATGAAAAAATTGGATCCACATTTCGCTACTTTTGGAACAATCGTTTTCGAGAACTTTTATTTTTCAGGTCGGTGATCGTGTCGGTGATCGTGAATGATTGATTTTCTTTTTCAATATTTTCGACCTTGGTAATGTTATTATTAGATTAAGACGCGCGCATCCAAAATTTAAAAAGATCGACCATTATTTCTCCCGAACACCCTTTTAGCTGCGCATCTCAATTTCTTAGCACTACTTTTGAAAATGGTTTTTTTTTTCTTTACGAGAAAGTGAAAAGGACCACACAATAGATAAGGCAAATTTCAGCATACACTTTCTTCACTAGGAGTAATCCATGTCGTTGAGTTAAAGATAAGAAGGTAGCCAAGCGGTGACCAAGTAAAAATGGTCCTTTTTTGCTTCATTACGTGTGCTAGACAGTTGATACACATTCATTGATGTGGTCCAATATTGAAAACGCTTCTGTAATCTCACCTAATTTTTTCTTAATTAGGGCTGGACCAAATTCTTAAAGGGATGAGCCGGTTCCATTCCAATCCGAACGCAACGTGTATGTATGCTGACGGAGTACTAAAGGATGATGGGTCTAGGTCAGGAGTAACAATTTGAGTAACGGGACAAAAATTAATTTGGGGTAAATGTGCCGTATGGTACTAATTTGGAATTTTTAACGGTATTAACTCCTCTTTACATTACATACATGATGTTTCGACTAAAATTATTGCCTCGCGCTCCTCTCTCTCACGTTCAAATTCTCAATCCTCATTGCTAAGCACCGATCTAAATAAAGAAAGGGACAGGTGCACCGAAAGTCCTAAAACTTGTCACGAAAGTGAAATCGAGTCCCGAAACTTTCAAAAAAACGCAATTAAATCCCGAAAAGCTTGTCAAGTCGGTGCAATCGGGTATTTCGATCTGTCAACTCGGACGGCGTTAATGGAAGGACATGATTACACCGACTCGACAAGTTTCGGGACTCGATTGCACCTTCCGAAAGTTTCAGCACTCGATCGCACTTCCGTAACAGGTATATAGGATTCGACCGCGCTCGTCTGAAAGCTCCGAGACTTAATTGCATTTTCGCGAATAAAACTTACGGACATGCTATGGATGTCATGGTATGTTTGTCGTGTCATGCATGGCATGTGACTTGGTCTAAGGAAGGTACATTGAACGTGGACAAGTCTTGCCATTCTAGAAAAACTGAAAAAAAAAAAAAGGAAGGAAAAAAAAACTTGGACCGAGTTGTTGGGTAGTGACGTTGTTTTCCGCGTTGCATCAACTTGCGAAGATCAGTTCATAACCAGCAGTTTTCAGACTCGTAAGCGTGACGGCAAGTAGTAAAACCCGCTCTTCGGGAAGGGAATCGAGGTTCAACGGACGTGGACGGGAAATCGAACTCCCCCTCTCCCTTTTCCTTTCTTTGGTGGGGCCTGTCTTCATTCGTTTTTATTAAGGGTGAGCAATTCTCAGTCCGGTCCGATTCAATCCAAGAATCAGAAATCGGACCGGGACGACCGGCTAATCTTGAGACCGAGGACCGGTTTCAATGGGACCAATCACTTATTGGTAAAGATAAGAGGGAATTCGAGAAATTAGATTAGGTTTTTTTTTTTATTTTTTTTCAAAAATTTTAAAAAGTAAATAAATATATATGAAAAAATTAGAAAAATATGTATATTTATCGGTCCGGTCTGGTTCCCATCTTAGAACTTGGAACCGGACCGCCCGGAAACCGGTTCCACTTGTAGGAACCGGGAACCGGACCGATATTCCCGAGAACCGGACCAAACCGGTCGGTCCGGTCCTGGTTTGGGCGGTCCATCTTACTCACCCCTAATTTTTATCTCGGTGTCTCTATTCATTTTACCTGCGATTTTTTATGTTAGGTAACAAAAAGGGAATTAATCGGACTTATTTTCGCAAATTAATCTCCACTCGTTCCTTAAACAAAAAGGCGACACCCGCCGGTTTGCCCCCGGTAACGAGATAGTAAGGACACCCCCAGATGCCGTACGAAACCGTAACTTTCGTACGACGCTCGCCGGAGCGCCGCCGTGTCTATCGCGCGAGCGCCGGAGATCCGACGTGGCGCGGCACTTGTGGTGGAGGTTTTCAGTAAAAGTTCCGGCGCTTTGCGCGAACGTTTTTCAAAGTTATGGCGCTCAAATTGTCAGGATAATTAAATATTGAACCACGCCTACATCTGACAGCTTAACCTTTTAGAACAATTCGTAGTGTGTCCCGCCAAAATCTCACATGATATCAGAGCTGGAGATTCCGAATTCAAATCTTTCCAGACCCCATTTATATCCCCGATTAAATATGTCTATGCTTAGTACTAGGTAAAAATAACACCACGTCTTCATCTAACAGCTCAATCTTTTAAAACAGTTGACAGTGATTCTATCGAAATCTCACACGAGGCGCATGCTCGAGTGCGTGCTAAGATCATTGGCGCCTCGTTTCTTTGACTCCGACTCAAGATAACACAGAATTCTAGTAATTTATTCTTGATTCGCGATTTCCTATTAAATCGTGATTGTTTTTTTACGTTATTTCCACGGGTCAGCAACGTGCGGTGTGCCGTTGAGGAAATTGAGGTGGTCAGTTCATCATATCTGTCATCGATTCACTACACACACATATATATATATATATATATATATATATTTTAATGTTCAGCGAATCTAAAAGTTATTTATGTTCTTTTTGTTTTTTGGAAAACTCTCTCGAAATTTGTGGCGTTCAATGAAGCACAATGTGGTGCTGAGTCAGGCACGCGTGCCTTCTAAAAATAAAAAAGAATGGACCAGATGTCATTTTCACCATAGTTTGCGTAATTCCAAGCGGATCAAAGCATTGACCGTCCGGATTTTTAGTAGGGATAAAATTATACGAGATAGGATAAGAAATCTCCGAGATTTTATCATATCCGATTTATTATTTGATAAATTATAGATTTGAAGTCGGATATTTTTGAATCATATCCTATTTATTGTTTGGTAGAAACTGGATATCAATGTAAACGACATATAAGCCCTTACGAAGTCCCCATGAAATAATATCGATCTTATCATCATAAATAACAAAATACCGCACTTCCTTTTGTCGATATGTTTACGAGAGCAGTAATTTTTTTTTTTTGTTTTCAAGCTCGTGTCGGAAATTAATTCAAGAGCCGAAATAACAATTGGTAGTCTTGAAGCAATGGATTAATAAGGTTTGCAATGCATTGTCAGCATCACCTTCCATAGTAGAATAAGAAATTCATTGTCAGCATTTTGGCCGTTATGATCGTATTTCTACGTGTGCAACACATCCTTTCCCCCCCACAAGATGCCCTCACACCAAAACGATTGTGGTATGTACACTTTGAACACCTCATGCTCAACAATATATCCACAGGGCTCTCGGTTTAGACTACAATTCGATCACGTACCACAATCAATAGTTAATTCACTTGGAGAAAGTAAACCGACCAATCGGGGGAAAGAAAACTCTCATGGACATTTCATCGAATAGATAACGTGCACCTGGTTAGAGAACCAGGCCTGGGTAACTCAAACTCGGATTCGCGACCTGACTCTATCTAAGATCAATACACGGCGTTTGCAATTGAAGCAATAAACTCATACGAAGTAGAATTCGATCCTAGCAAAACATACAATATCTCGGCTATTTTACTCAAAACAGAGTTGTACATGAGGTTCGATCTTACCTGGTTAATGAGCGAATCCGAGACTACAAATGGCGGCCGAAGGAAAAAAAACCGCAACAAGAATGTTGAAATTCTGGAAAATGAAGAGCAAAGTTCAGCGACAAAGATTTTGCGGATTGAAGCTCGAACTCGCCGGAGATGGGGCTTGAATTTGTCGGATTAGAGCTATGGAGAAGAATTTGTGAACTGGTTTCGTGAAGCTTGGATATGAGAGGAGTTGTGTGTGTGAAAAATAGTTGGACAAGAAAAATCCTATCCGGGTCTATCTCGCCTCCCCCTTTAGGTTTTTTTTTTATCTGGGTTATATCCCTTCTATATCCGACTTTATCTTATTTTGAACAACTATCAAATACAGGATAAGATAAAAATGTAATGTGATTTAATTAGTGAAATTTGTGAATTTTAACAATTATGCCAATAATAGGAGGCGTTTTTGCTGTTTTTTTTTTTCCAATAGGCACTAAATTGTGCAAATTCGCTACCCCTCCATTACGATATTCTAATCGTGCATATAGGTTGCGAAAATGAATTTTTTTTAGGCTTCATTTTTTCCGTAGAAACTGAGTCTATGGAAAACATTTTATTGAAAATGATTACTTATATCGCTTAAAATAATTAGTCAGTAAAACATATTTTCATTATCGACAACAATTTTTGTCTAAACATTTGCGTAGACGACAAAAATACTTTCATTAATTCATTTTTGTAAACGATATAATGGATCATTTTTAGGAAAATGTTTTTCAAATCATTCATTTTCCGCGAAACAAACGGAGGCAAAATGTTTGAATTACGTATCTTATTTCTTTATTAGTTATTATATCGATTGAACTATTATATACTCGGGTAAGAAAATTTTTGTAATATTGAGTTGGCTTTTGTTTTGTTTTTTATTAAAGATTCCGATGAATGAATGGAAGAAAGTTAGTATATATGGCATGTAAATCCCAAATAAAGAAACAAATCTATCTGTCTATCATTTATCTTCATTTTCCATTTAGCTCTTATATAAATTAATTATTCTTATATAAAGCAAAGAGGATAAAAAAAAAGCAAAATTGACCCAAGAAAATGGATAAAAAGATAAAACAAAGAAATTAACTACCCACTTTTTCTCTCAAGAAGGTAAATCCCATAAAATCACTTAAAGGTCCTTATAGCGCAATAACCAATCTCATCCTTAATTTTATGTGAGAATTTTTTTTGAGCTTTAAACAAATATCTTCTTTTAATTACTGAAAAAAGCAAAAAATATTCACGTAATGATTTATTACTAGATTAAAATCTCTAGAGTAGTAAAAAGATTGTAAGCCCTCTTTTGAATAGGGTGTAATAAAAACTATCGGACTCAATCCGATCTGCTCATTCCTCAGGAGATTATCTAGGTGTCGGTTCGTTAGCTCTTTCTCTGTCTCCATCCCCTCGCAATAGCCCTGAATCGCGCGCTATGGCGAGCCTCGATCTCGCTCAGTAAATCCCGCTTTCACCATCCTTAAAAAAGGTCGTGCCCTCTCTTGGATCTGGTGTGCCGACGGTCGAGCTCCGACGGCTCGAAACCCCCTCAGTTGTTCCTCGAGCGATCGCTCCGCCGTCTCGTGCGTGATTTATCGATCCCCCTAAAACACAATTTCCCAAGAAAAAAAAAGAAAAAAAGGAAAATAATGGGCCTGGTGCCATCTTTCTGACAACTTGAAGCCCAAGCCCATTTGGCATTGAAGCCCAACAAAGGCCCAGGGCAGCCCAGACGAACCGCCTCGACGCGGTTCAGGCTTACGCGAAGGTGTCTCTGCAGGTGTCGGCATTTTCGAGCATCGAAGGAGGCTTCGAGGGGCTCGTGTTCGTTCTTCGTGCCGTCGCGTCTCAACTGGGTCGGCATGAACTCGGGTAAGCTTCGTTCCCCGAAATCCCACAATTTGCTTGCTGATCGACCTCCATTTGGCCGCCTTGCTCTTGCTGGGTTCCTTGCATGTTTGGTTTCTTGAACGGCGACGGCTCTGGTCGGCGCCGAGAAGCCCCTGGACGTGAAATTGGAAATGAACATTTGTTTTCGCGCCTCTTGTTCCTTTTCTGATGAACCCATCGTTGGCTTTTAGATTATCGGAGTGAGCCGCGAAAGATGCGAGTGGGTCGCTGAAATTGGAGATGTACATTCGTTTTCTCGTCTCTTGTTCTTTTTTTGATGAACCCATCATTAGCTTCTAGATTATCGGAGTGAGCTGTGAAAGCTGCAAGTGGGTCGCTGTTCTTCACTGATTTTTTTCCTTGCTTAGTTCATGGAAGCCTGTGTTTGATTGTGTCCGAGGCTTACTTAGTTTGGTTCTTTTCTTCAACGACGATGGCTCTGATTGGCGCCGAGAAGCTCTGGACATGAAATTGGAATTGTACATTTGTTTTCACGCCTCTGGTTCTTTTTTTGATGAGCCCATTATTAGCTTTTAGATTATCGGAGTGAGCTGCGAAAGATGCGAGTGGGTCGCTGTTTTTCACTGATTTTTTTCCTTGCTTAGTTCATGGAAGCCTGTGCTTGATTGTGTCCAAGGCTTACTTAGTGTGGTTAGTTTATTTAGTTTACTTAGTTTGGTTCTTTTCTTGAACGACGATGGCTCTGATCGGCCGCGAGAAGCCCTGGACATGAAATTGGAATTATACATTTGTTTTCACGCCTCTGGTTCTTTTTTGGATGAGCCCATTATTAGCTTTTAGATTATCGGAGTGAGCTGCGAAAGATGCGAGTGGTGGGTCGCTGTTTTCACTGATTTTTTCCCTTGCTTTAGTTCATGGAATCTGTGTTTGATTGTGTCCGGGGCTTACCTAGTTTGGTTAATTGCTGCTTGCATACGATCATTTGATGTTGTGTCGTTTCTAATTGCCCTTCCTGCAAGACTATGTGGTGTATGTACATGTCTGATTAATGATTCGATATTATTTTTTCTATTAGCCCGATAGAGTTTGTTGTTGATCTGTGGAGTCCTTGGAAGGGAAGAAGCCGAGCATGTGATGAAGCAGGAAATGGGTTCGGGATCCCGGTGCACGCGATCTCAGGCAGCTCCGGACTGGAGCGCTGGCGATTTGCTAATACTCGTGAATGAGATTGCGGCTGTCGAAGGGGATTGCTTGAACGCGCTCTCTTCTTACCAGAAATGGGAAATTATCTCAGAAAACTGCACCGCGCTGGATGTAGACAGGACTGCGAATCAGTGCCGCAGGAAATGGGAATCCTTACTTGCTGACTACAGAAGGATTAAGCAGCACGATTCACGGTCCGGTGTCAATTCATATTGGTCTCTGGGACATGATAGAAGAAAAGGTTTTGGCCTTCCTGAGACTTTTGATAGAGAATTGTTTGAGGCCATCAATAATCTTCTTATGGTGCGGGAAGATAGAGCAGATACAGAGCCAGACAGCGATTCAGAAGCAGAAGGTGACACGCGTGATGCTGCTGCTTCCGAATCTGGTATTCTTGTCTTTGCTTTTTACGTAACTTTAAGAAGTAACATTAAGATTTGCCAGTCATACATTATGCTTTTGGAAAAGTTGGCATAATTGCTTGAGGTTCATATTCTAGTAACGATTTCATTCCATAGAAATCTCATGCAAGTCTTCAATCTGATTACCTCTTTTGTTACTTCACTCTTGGAGCTATAACGGTTTCCTCCCACATGCAGTTCTCCCGAATGTCTGTATAAATAAGCTTGATCGTTTGATGCACGTGGGCCATGGTGCAGTTGCCTTTCTTCCATTCGTCCTTTGTTGTTTCTTTCTTTTGGTTTATACTGTATCTCATACTTGTCAGAAAGGTTCAAAGCGATTTCCAAACTTTTGAACATTCCTTAATATTGATAATTGCATAGTTTAGAAGTCAGTCGAGAATCTCTTTATTTTTAATCCAGAAGACAGTTGATGGGCATTATTTTGGTCGGAGTAGAATCTTTTCTGTTCAAGATGTTGATCAATAATGGACATTCACCATGAAGGTCAATTTACTAAGTTGTACCTCTGGAGATGCAGCGCTCCACATTCCAAAAACTTGCGAGAGGACTCAGTGCCTATGCACATATAAGGTCGTCTATATGCAGGGCTTTTAATCTTGGTCAATCGATCATATTTTTTATCTGCATGGTCTTACCAAAGTAATGAAATTGAGTTGATTTTGTCACAGTTAGGTATTAATAGTTTATAAAAATTAGAATGAAATGTTTCCTTAAGAAACACATTTTGAAATGTTTTCCTTAAGAAACATATGTAAAAGGCTTTAAATGGGCTGTGAAGGGGGCTGACTATTTTCAAACCCACTTGCTTGGGATTTTTCATATATGCATGATCTTAACTAACTTCGTGGTGAAATTGGTGGAGTTTCCAGGTGGTTGGTCCACTTACCTTATTCAGCTCAATATTATGGAAATAGCAGTGTGGAAAGAATATTTTGCATATACAGGTTGTAGGGCCATACACCACATTCAGCCTAAAATTTAGAAATAGCATTAGCTAAAGAATGAATTATACCAACTTTATCTACATTAATTGGTTAATAATCCCTTGCTAACTTAAGCTTCCTTTCTTCGAGTTTGGTCTAACTTGTTATCCCTCGTCTAACCTGAATGATTCTATACTACACATCAAGCATCAGTAATTGCAGTATGGGGTGAAATGAAACTGCCATTTTCGAACTATGTTATTATTTTAATTTAACTAGATGTTCTGGAATTTCATTTATAGAACATGTAACACAACAACAATTTATCTTGACAGTTCTTTTGCTGGTTCATTGCGACAGAAATATATTTAGGGAGTTTAAGTGATACAATTGAGCAGATGTGCATGTGATATCATATTACCTTTTTGTCTACTAACTAGTGCTTATCTATGTTCAATTCATAGGTGATAAATTATGTTGATAGTATTCGTGAGACTGTTTTATATGAATCATCAAACTTATGAGCCAACTTGAGTTTTGTTTGCACTCTACATGATCATTCATGAACTATTTAATACGGTTGGTAGATGGATTTGAGACTTCTAAGCGTATCTGTACAACATTACATCTATGAGTTATTATAATTAATTTGATGGGTGCAATGTTCATGGTAGACAGAGAGTACTCCTAAAATAAGCCCAAGCCCAAGCGACCTCATATGGCTGCACTGATGATTTTATTAGTCAAACTAAGTATTTCGATGGATATAATATGATATGTCCAAATTTATGGTGTATCCCATTTACTCCATGGATGTGCGTGAGTGGTCTTGTGTATTTGCTTTGCTAGATGTACGCCTAAGTGTCACACCGTTAGATTTTATAATTGAATGTGTGACCTTATACGAGTTTTATGATGTGTCAGCTACAAATGAAAGTTACAAGGTCTCATTTATTATATCGATAGGCTCAAGAGATTTCGTGCATCTTTACTAATGTATTCAGTCGAACTTTTATGTTAGGTCTAAGTGCGTCTCATCTTGATTCATGATGGAAATATCGTACTTAACATAAGGAGTCAAGACTCAAGTGCACAGATGTGTCTCACTTTTTCAAATTTCTAGGGATAACTAAAGTATGTTGATGAGCTCTAACACAGTCTATCTGAATATATGATGTTTCACATGCAATCCATGGATGAGATTGAGTGGTGTATCGCATCTACACTAGCTGAGATTGAGTGATTTAAGATTCAATTGTATCAATAGAACATCTAATGTACTCCATGAGTTAGCTCAAGAACTCAAATGTACACACATTAGAATTTGTGAGCTTTTCTACATTTTGACGAGTCCAATGAAACTAATTGCAATTTATGGTGGTTTGATTTACTTTTTAGATAAGCTTAACAGGCTTAGTGAATTTGCACTACTGGATTATTAGTTAAACAAATATCAATGGACCCATTTTTTTTTTTCTGTTTCATATTCCTACTTTTATGAGCTCATGTGGTTTTGATGACGCATGGAGTGTAGTTTGTCTAAGTTCGTGGTCTTGTGTACTCTATGCACGAGCACAAGAGACCTCATGTATCTAGACTGCTAAATTTATAAGTCAATCTAAGTAACACAATGGATTTAATGTAATATATCTAGATTTATGTATAACTGGTTTTGTTTACTCAATGGATGTGGTAAGATGAATAACTGTATGTCCACCAGTCAATTTATGAGCTTATATAAGTTTTTATGATGCAACCACTTTGATCTATCTACATTTATAGCAAGTCCACTTGTTATATGGATGATTTAAGAAACCTAGTTGTATTTGTATATTTTTTTTTTGTGAATTAATTTGGTTTTTACAATGGGTCCAATATAACTGACCAAAACTTGTGGTGGACAAACTGTCTTTGGTATATAAGCAAGAGCACATGTGTGTTAGCCTTTTACTAACTTATTGTTATTCTGTTTTTGTTATAAAGTTGACGTTGATAGGTAGAGTGCGAAACCGCAATATACATGGAAAGATAACTCTCAGATGAGTTTATGTATTATTTTAAAAATTGTAGGTTAAAACATGTTGAGTAAGTAAACAAGGGCAGTTGAGCATGGGAGCTGTGCGTCAACGCATGGGATGGTTACGTTACCTTTACTACTATTATAAGATTTTAAGATTGTAAGAGATTAAGTTATGGTTCTTTTTAAGTCAGAGCTTTCTCTTATGTTTGTTTTATCTAGCACATCTATCTGACGGAGCTGTTTAGATGGTATGAAATGGCTTGACTGAATATAGAAAGTCAAGTTAGTCATACAAAGTTGCGGGGACAGGTTCATATGAATTAAATTTAATAAGAATAATTGATTTCGGTAAAATAACAACGTAGCTGGAAGCAAATTGTATCTGGAATATGGTTGTGCGGGTTGGATAGAGACAATAGCAGTACCTTATACAGGCTTAACTTCTACTTGAGCCAAACAAAACTGAAATATGATGACCCTAATTTCTGAAATGGCAGATCCGGAAATACCTGACTCTAATTTTAGCACCGTGTCGGAATCCAGTGGTGGATGGCTGTGCCATAGTTAGCAGTAGAGCTTGGGTATCGTTATCAACTGTAATTTAGAAAAAATGCAAATTAGAGATACACCATAAAGTAAAGTTAGATGAAACAAAGTGATTATGCTTTGTTTGATAAATATATATACTTGTCCTTGTACAGGCTACATGGACTCATGAGCTATGACAGGTGTTGTTTCAAGGGGACAATTTATGATTATCCCAGTGCTTAGTAAAATCCAAGGATACTGGACACATTAGTGTTCTTGGAGTCGTATATACTTCTCTGTGCTGAATATCGTCATATCCTGCCATAGAATGTGGTCTTCCTTTTCCATTTCTGGTTTTGTATAAAGATGGTTCCATAATTGTTTCGTTTTTGGCCAGAGCTTGTTCCATAATGTTGAAGAGAGAAATATTACCTTACACAGCTCAAGTTTCTCCTGGACTATGTACCAACTTAAAACTTCACTCACGTTTAAGAAATTATTACCTTACCTGTCAAGTATGATGTCAGATTCTGTCAAGATGATGGATCAAGCTGGGTGAAAGACATGTTGCTGTGGTCAGAAAAATGCCAGTTAAATTATCATTCATGAAATTGCTCATGAAAACTTCTTTTCTGCGACCTGAAAAATACTCACCACACTATTGCCACCAGACAAAGAAGTCAAGCTACACATTTTAAGTGAAGCTACTGTCACGCTTGTTTGTGAGGTTAAGGTCATTGATGAATTTCCAGTTTATGTGTTACAACAGGTTTGGCCATTCTGCTGCTCTTTATATTAATTTTGCCATAGTTATTGTCTGTTATATTGCCTATAACACGCCTTAACTCGATTCAAAAAGATTGTGTATGATACTCATGTTCCAGAAATTGTTTAGTCATCTTTCTTTCATTCTTCTGGTCACTGGTATGTGCATGGAGTCTGAAACTTAATGTTTGTAGAGTGTCAGAGCATCTATGTTCCTATTCTGTTGTGTTGTGATAGTGACCATTGATTTCTTTGATTTGGTGCCAACAGGTTCTAAAAGGAAAAGAAAGAAACCTGGGCACATCATTGTGCAAGGACTCCCCACAACGAGCCCATTAAAGGATCAAAGTACAAACTTCGGTGTCCTGAAGAAGCGCAGTGAAAATCCCTCAGGTGTGTGCATGGAGTCTGTAAATTTAAGAAGCCTGTACCATGTCGAAGCCTCTGTGCTGTTTGTTTTATTTGTTTCCTTTTATGTCATGTTGTGTCGTGCTTTGGTAGTTCATTTCTTTAATTTGGTATCATCAGGTTCCAAAAGGAAAAGCAAGAGACGCAAGAAAAGCAAGAGAAGCAAGAAAAGCAAGAAATCTATGTCTCCTAAAATCGTTGTGCAAGGACTGCCCACGACGAGCCCACTAAAGGATAACATTATGGCACTGCCAGCTGCGAGCCCATCGAAGGATAACACTATGGAACTCGACATCCCGGAGAAGTGCAGTGAAAATATATTGCAAGAAAGGCCTCAAATGTGTCTTGCGGATGCTGACGTCATGCCTGTGGAGAACTGTGAGGGAAAGAAGCTCGAGGAAAGCTGCTTCGAAGAAACGGGGAAAACAAGTGAAGACGAGCGGGAGCAGATGATGGCCTTGACGTTGCGAGAAAATGCTCAGCTGATCCAACAAATCGTGAATGGGGGTCCGGCGGATCCAGGGTGTGGATATGTAGATGTAAAAAGTGTCGAGAACTCGAAAACCGAGTTCATTAGAGGGCAAGGCGATAAGCTAATTGCGTGTCTTGGAACCATCATAGACACCCTTAACCAGCTCTGTGATGTAGTTCAAGTCAAAGAATGCGACTAATTGCTACATGCTGAATGTAGTTTGGGACTCTGCATTTGGATGCTTTTCATGTGAAGATGATTCAGAGGCTTCCCTCCTGCAGAGCAAAATCAGTGCTATTCCAGTAGCAAGAATTTTGACGTCTGACGTCTCATTCTCTCTCCAGTGGTTCAATCATTGCCGTCACGCCACCACCACGCTATCCTATAGTAACATCTATGCCGTCTCTGGCAGTGCTTGGCCTCGCTCTATCCCCTAGCGTCTCCATTGCGGGTCTCGTTTACCACAAGGAAATCGTTCACCACCAGGACGGAAGCTCGACCTGCCTCTGTTATGGCCAAATCCCGACCTCAATGAAAGATTGCACACAACAATGAGATCGCCCATGGAAGGACGCGCAACAATGACGACCATAGACCAAGATGGATTTGTGGTAGTGGACTTCATATTGTCGGCTTTGTGGTGTGGTCGGTCGCGTCTTGGGGAGGCCTGTGGCAGCTGGTGAGAGGTTGGCGGCGGTTGGCCTTGTGGTGTGGTCGGTGTCGTCTTGAGGAGGCCTGTGGCGGCGCGGTGAGGTTGGCAGTGGTTGAGGTGGAGTTGCGACTAATACGGGGAAAATGACCCTAATTCGTGCAACGCTCACTTTGATTTTACAACTTTTTAACTGATCACTTACAGGGTCATAACTTTTATTAAACGTTATTTGAGCGACTCCGGCAACATACTTCAGGCAACGAATCCTACGAGGATTTATTTTAATAAAAATATATTCGACACGTCCTTTTAAAAAAAAAAAAAAAGAATAAAGTCCATAGTGGAAAATCGCCCAAATGACGTGGTTTCCCGACCCTAAAACAACGCATCGAAGAAGAATTGACGAAGGGGAATAACTAATCCTGTCTCTCAAGCGGGAAAAATGTCACAATTGAAGTATTCTCTGTACCTGTCGTATTCATTGACCTGCAATTTTTTGAAACACGAGCTGTGATTACCTGGTAACAAACGAACACAGAGAAGAAGAAGAAGAACAACAACCATCTAGTTAGGAACGGAATCAAATGGATCTTGTTAGCAACTCCAACAAATCATCAGTAATTCTCCATTGACAACACCGGATCACCGTGGAAACCTGAAAAAACTGCCTGACGCATGATCGTGTCAAATGACTCTCCGATCGTAGTAGACAGACTTGGAAGAATAGGATGTTCAAGGGGGGTTTTTTTCCCCTCGGGAATCGAAAGAAAACACCGTGGTCGTGTGATTGGGGGAGGAAAAGAAAACTCACCGGTGAAACAAATTGGAGGCACCAAAATAGCGGGCGCAAGTAATCACCTGCAATTTTACTAGTAGTTTTAAAAGCAACTTCTCATTGACAGTGCAATTTTTTATTTGCAAATGAAAATGGGGTTCGGGTGACTTAATTTAGCCCCAATTCATCAATTTAGGCAAGGAAAGGGCTAAGCAATGCCATTCTATACGCATTTGGAAATTTTGTTTCCCTGGTGATTTATGTTGGACAACTATATATCATATTAATGCCACATCAAATTTTTTTGCAAGAGAATTTATCAAGGTCACTCAGGTAGACTTTTTTTTTTGTTGAACTTGGCGACGTTAAAGTAATCGGTTGAAAAGTTATGGTATTAAAACGAGTGCTGTGTGAAAATAATAGAATTATTTAGACTCCGTTTGTTTTGCGGAAAATGAACGGTTTGGACAATATTTTCCTTAAAATGATCTCTTTTATCGCTTTAAAAAATGATAGAACGAAAAATATTTTCATCGTCTACGAAAATGTTTACGCATAAATTATTGCCGAAAATGAAAACATTTTTCATTGACTAATTATTTCAAGCGATACAAGTAATTATTTTTAGGAAAATATTTTTCAGATCATTCATTTTCCGTGAAACAAACGGAGCCCTAGTATAATTTTCCCACTAACGCGAGAGAGGAGGGGAAAATTACTAGTGGTGAGAAGAATATTACTAGAGACGGCTCATAAAATACTCTCTAATGTTGTAGGAAATTTTTGGCAAATGCGCTTAGTACGGCAAGCTACTTGGTGAACAAATCCCTACCGAGTGCGATTGGATAAAAGTATGATTAGGTAATGTTGTTGCTAATTATTCTATTCTTATAATATTTGGTTGCTCGTGTTACGTTTGAGTGAGTGATGGTAAGCTTGATGGGAGGGCAAGAAAGTACACAAGGTGAGCGGGGCTATCGGTTGTGGTGCCCGGAATTAAATTCACCTATTATTAGTAGAGAAGTTACATTTGATGAGTTTCCAGTACTTTTGGATAAGAGCGATTATAGGATTGTTTATACGGATCTGGACGGTGTTCGGTTGAAGGTGGAGTTGCAACTAGAAACTCCTAAGGGGGTGAGTACTTGCAGTGTAACATTCGGAATTTTTCACGTTTTGTAATAATATTCAGGATGATTTTCCGTGATCGTCATCACTCGGAGTCCGATATGATAGAATGTTGATGCTTAATTGATGGTGTAGTGTGACGGTAATTAATTGCCACCATCTTAGTTGTAGAAAGGATTGATATGCTCCGAGTTTCATATTGGATGATTTTCAAGTTTTAAAATATACCGAGTTGAGATTTTCCTAACATCCGTTATTTTCACTTATGTTTTTAGTGAGTTCAAAACATTTTTTTAATTTATCAATGCTTGGAAATGACACTGATTTCCTTGTTTACATACTGATTTACTAGATATTTTGATAGCTTCACACATAACTACTTTGGAACCATATGATTATACCACTTGTAACTTTTTTATTTGAACACCTCTTTAACTCTTTAATGCTCTTTAAGCTTGCAAGCCAAAAGTCCTCATTAATTGTGTCACATTTCTCTCATTTTCAATCATAAGTTTCACTTACAGAATTACATTATGCATGACCTAACCTTTTTGCTTCAATGATTACAAATCGAATAATGATTCTTATTCATGCATCTACTTAGGTGATCTTATGTCCTCTCTAATCATTATCTTCAATTAGCTACTTAAAGTATGCTACTTGTAATCTTTTAATTTACACATCTCTCTCATTCTCTACCAAGTGTTTTTAACCCTAATGTAATCATGGCTTTTAACAATAGTTGACTAATATGTATTACTCATGGGAAACCCAAGTCAAGGTCTTCTCTATCTCTATCATTAATGCTTGAATGATTACAACTCAAATAATGTGTCCTCATTCATGCATTTTACTTTGCCAATAATGTTCTCTCTATTTCCAATCAAATATCTTCATCTTTCTATCCAAAATCATTTATTTTACTTGTCACTGAAATAATAACTCGTGTGCTTTTAAACTGAGATATTTAACCTAGCTTAGTAATGATATCATGCATTACCTCATTCATTACATCATTCACGAGAACCTTAGACTAAGTCACCTCTTGCGACCCTTCCGTTTGGAGTATAGTTTTTCAATTTCGAAACACATTGCTTGTGTTCCAAATTGTCATTAGTCGAGCTAAAGCGGCTTTTCCCCTGCAAAGCTACGTAATTTTGCTGGGATACTTGTCTAGGTCTATTATCTAAAAGCAATTTTCCACAATCAATTAGACTCAAGTACGTCTCTAACTCATGCTTAGACATGTCATGCATTGAGCGGTACATGCCCTAAATCGACTATTTACTTAACGAAGCCGCATTTCTTGTGGGGTGACTTGATCAAGTTATGTTTGCATTTTGATAGACCATTTGAAACTTTAGTATTTATCTTGTGTGTGCGTGTTTGTGTGTATCGTGTACTGTTTTTCTTTAGCGTTTATTTTGTGCACTACTAGTGGAAACAAAATTGCGTTTTGCGAGCTTTGATATATAGTTGTGTGTACGGTTGAGATATGGTAAGCCTCAAAATCGATTTCAATTTCTCACATGGTTAGACGCAGTGGTCAGAGTGAAAGCCAATGTCTTCTTAGCTTGCCTAGAGTATCTAGAATGAGCGAGACATCTAACGAAGGACTGACTCTTGCGACCAAGCAGGGAACAAACACTTGTGCGGGAAGCCTCTTTCCCCGTGCAAATCGTCCAAGAAGAGCGTCGGGAAATGAAACAACGTGGGAAAGGAGAGGCTCTATGAGCACACGAGGAGGTTTTGGGAGTCTCGTCTCACCCTTACTTGCTTCCTCTAGCGGCTTTCCTTTTACAGGAAAGAGGAAAAGCTCCTGATGTCGGATTTTGAAACCAGAAGACAGTCTATATGGCTGCACATAAACTAGTTTCTACCAGTCATCTTTTCCTGTGAATTTGGTCGGAGTAGAATCTTTTCTGTTCACGATGTTGATCAATAATGGACAATTGACCATGAAGGTCAAGTTACTAACTTCCACATCCCGAGATACAGTGCTACAATCTTTGCTAGTTAACGTGTTATCTCGTATAGTATCTGATATGGTTTGGTATAACAATACGGTTAATTCTCTATCATTTATATGTTTTTAGAGTCGTATAATACGATTGATCAATAATGGACATTCATCATGAAGGTAATGTTGATTAAGCCCACCCCTCTTTTTTCTTTAGCGGTTCAATTAAATATAAGAATGCGGAAGAGAGAGTTGAGGAATTTTAGTATATTTTGATACATAGAAAAGAATACATAGAGAACCTATTTATAGATTTAGATGGAGGAAATCAAAGGAAATTAAATCTGATATGCATAATCATAATATATATTAAAAATCAAATGAAATATCCTAGATATTTCTAAGAGATATCTAAATATCCTAATATTGCTAACAGGTTCGATCATTGCTGTCACACCTCAACTCTCCATCCTATAGTCGCATCCCGCACCGTCTCTGGTGGCAATAGGCCTTGCTCTGTCCATTAGCGTCTCTGTTGTGGGTCCTGTCCACCACGAGGAAATCGTTGACCACCGCGACCATAGCTGGACCTACCTCATTTACGGTCAAATCCCAACCTCAGTGAAAGATTGCACACAACAATGGGAAAAATTACCAAAAAAGTCTTAAACTTAATGTACGGGTGCCAATTCAGTCATATTCCTTTCAATTTGCCAAATTAGTCATAAATCTTGTCGCAATCCTCTTTTTTGACACGGTTGGGGAAAAGGACGAGTTTAGAGTTGATGCCAAAAAGGCGAGTT